TTTTGTTGTATTTCTATACATCGCCTCCATGTTCTCGTGTTTACTTGTTCCCTTGTCCACAGGCGGAGGATGTATAAGGCGAAAATGCATCCGTTATTCAAGAAACGTATCACAAATCCATTATTGAGAATTACGATTATTTAGACATAGAATCAATGCTGTTACTGATTGGTAATAAATCAAGGAATAGAGAACAGGATAACTGTCAGTGACAGAACAGAAAAGACGCTTAAAAGTAGCAATTAACGGTGAATCACCGATTAGTTTACAGTAATCCTCTGATCACGAGGTATGACATGAGACCATGGAATGATGTAACTTTAAACGAATCAGAGGGATTGTATCTGGTCATGTGACAAGGGTGGAGCAGGCTCGAACACTTTAAAAAGAAAGTGGCGCGGGTTACAAAGTCAGCAGAACGTTCGCATCGCGATCGATCAGTTCCATATCTGGTGAAGAGCTTGCCCTATCCTGTCCTCACCACGTCACTTTGTAATGAAGAGAGAGATCAAGTAAACCTATGTGAGTATAGAACCTATTGTTGAGTTATTCCTTGTAATGCCAGAGTGCCAGTACATGAATGTAATGTTGTAGTTAGGAGTCTCGGTCGTCAGACCTCTCACTCCTAAACGTAGAAGCCCCGGACGGACCAAGCGAGTATGTAACCTGAGCTTACATCACCCCTGACAATGCGGAACGGCCATCTTAATAGGTAACTGGTAGTAGGGTTTACTAACGCCCAAAACCCGGTTACGACAGCATTGTCTACGTGGTATGTGCAGCGTTAAGTTATTATTCAATATGAGCACAAGATCCTTTGGGTTGACAGATGTGCGTTCGTTTCTAAGGTATATCAAAATGGATATTATATGATCAATGAAAAGCCAACAGCACTGAAATATCAATAGAGGAATGATGGTTTTATGGCATGTCCAGTAAATACTGGTTCCGTTAATATGAAACAAAAGTCACGTACAAAATTCTGTACAACTGAAACTAAATTTTTTATCGTTATAGTTTTATCATACAGTTTGAGAATAGTGTGTTGTTGGTTGCCGATTAAAGGGTTTGGCTTCTCATAACGTTACGCTAACGTACGTTCATGCTGTTAACATTGAGTGACAACTGTCATTTTATCCAAAGAGGCCTTACGAAGGCAGTCCTTCTTCATTTGAGCTATTTGACAGCGTAAAGATATGTAATGCTATCTACCTTGTGTCCAAACTGGGTGACAACTGTCATTTTATCCAAAGAGGCCTTACGAAGGCAGTCCTTCTTCATTTGAGCTATTTGACAGCGTAAAGATATGTAATGCTATCTACCTTGTGTCCACACTGGGTGACAACTGTCATTTTATCCAAAGAGGCCTTACGAAGGCAGTCCTTCTTCATTTGAGCTATTTGACAGCGTAAAGATATGTAATGCTATCTACCTTGTGTCCACACTGGGTGACAACTGTCATTTTATCCAAAGAGGACTATGAAGGCAGCCCTTCTTCATTTGAGCTATTTGACAGCGTAAAGATATGTAATGCTATCTACCTTGTGTCCAAACTGGGTGACAACTGTCATTTTATCCAAAGAGGACTATGAAGGCAGCCCTTCTTCATTTGAGCTATTTGACAGCGTAAAGATATGTAATGCTATCTACCTTGTGTCCACACTGGGTGACAACTGTCATTTTATCCAAAGAGGACTATGAAGGCAGCCCTTCTTCATTTAAGCTATTTGACAGCGTAAAGATATGTAATGCTATCTACCTTGTGTCCACATTGGGTGACAACTGTCATTATATCCAAAGAGGACTATGAAGGCAGCCCTTCTTCATTTGAGCTATTTGACAGCGTAAAGATATGTAATGCTATCTACCTTGTGTCCAAACTGGGTGACAACTGTCATTTTATCCAAAGAGGCCTTACGAAGGCAGTCCTTCTTCATTTGAGCTATTTGACAGCGTAAAGATATGTAAAGCTATCTACCTTGTGTCCAAACTGGGTGACAACTGTCATTTTATCCAAAGAGGACTATGAAGGCAGCCCTTCTTCATTTGAGCTATTTGACAGCGTAAAGATATGTAATGCTATCTACCTTGTGTCCAAACTGGGTGACAACTGTCATTTTATCCAAAGAGGACTATGAAGGCAGTCCTTCTTCATTTGAGCTATTTGACAGCGTAAAGATATGTAATGCTATCTACCTTGTGTCCACACTGGGTGACAACTGTCATTTTATCCAAAGAGGACTATGAAGGCAGCCCTTCTTCATTTGAGCTATTTGACAGCGTAAAGATATGTAATGCTAGATATGTAAAGCTATCTACCTTGTGTCCAAACTGGGTGACAACTGTCATTTTATCCAAAGAGGACTATGAAGGCAGCCCTTGTGACAGCGTAAAGATATGTAATGCTATCTACCTTGTGTCCAAACTGGGTGACAACTGTCATTTTATCCAAAGAGGACTATGAAGGCAGTCCTTCTTCATTTTGAGCTATTTGACAGCGTAAAGATATGTAATGCTATCTACCTTGTGTCCAAACTGGGTGACAACTGTCATTTTATCCAAAGAGGACTATGAAGGCAGCCCTTCTTCATTTAAGCTATTTGGCAGCGTAAAGATATGTAATGCTATCTACCTTGTGTCCACATTGGGTGACAACTGTCATTATATCCAAAGGGACTATGAAGGCAGCCCTTCTTCATTTGAGCTATTTGACAGCGTAAAGATATGTAATGCTATCTACCTTGTGTCCACATTGGGTGACAACTGTCATTTTATCCAAAGAGGCCTTACGAAGGCAGCCCTTCTTCATTTGAGCTATTTGACAGCGTAAAGATATGTAATGCTATCTACCTTGTGTCCAAACTGGGTGACAACTGTCATTTTATCCAAAGAGGACTATGAAGGCAGTCCTTCTTCATTTGAGCTATTTGACAGCGTAAAGATATGTAATGCTATCTACCTTGTGTCCACACTGGGTGACAACTGTCATTTTATCCAAAGAGGACTATGAAGGCAGCCCTTCTTCATTTAAGCTATTTGGCAGCGTAAAGATATGTAATGCTATCTACCTTGTGTCCACACTGGGTGACAACTGTCATTATATCCAAAGAGGACTATGAAGGCAGCCCTTCTTCATTTGAGCTATTTGACAGCGTAAAGATATGTAATGCTATCTACCTTGTGTCCAAACTGGGTGACAACTGTCATTTTATCCAAAGAGGCCTTACGAAGGCAGTCCTTCTTCATTTGAGCTATTTGACAGCGTAAAGATATGTAATGCTATCTACCTTGTGTCCAAACTGGGTGACAACTGTCATTTTATCCAAAGAGGACTATGAAGGCAGCCCTTCTTCATTTGAGCTATTTGACAGCGTAAAGATATGTAATGCTATCTACCTTGTGTCCAAACTGGGTGACAACTGTCATTTTATCCAAAGAGGACTATGAAGGCAGCCCTTCTTCATTTAAGCTATTTGGCAGCGTAAAGATATGTAATGCTATCTACCTTGTGTCCACATTGGGTGACAACTGTCATTATATCCAAAGAGGACTATGAAGGCAGCCCTTCTTCATTTGAGCTATTTGACAGCGTAAAGATATGTAATGCTATCTACCTTGTGTCCACATTGGGTGACAACTGTCATTATATCCAAAGAGGCCTTACGAAGGCAGTCCTTCTTCATTTGAGCTATTTGACAGCGTAAAGATATGTAATGCTATCTACCTTGTGTCCAAACTGGGTGACAACTGTCATTTTATCCAAAGAGGCCTTACGAAGGCAGTCCTTCTTCATTTGAGCTATTTGACAGCGTAAAGATATGTAATGCTATCTACCTTGTGTCCAAACTGGGTGACAACTGTCATTTTATCCAAAGAGGCCTTACGAAGGCAGTCCTTCTTCATTTGAGCTATTTGACAGCGTAAAGATATGTAATGCTATCTACCTTGTGTCCAAACTGGGTGACAACTGTCATTTTATCCAAAGAGGACTATGAAGGCAGCCCTTCTTCATTTGAGCTATTTGACAGCGTAAAGATATGTAATGCTATCTACCTTGTGTCCAAACTGGGTGACAACTGTCATTTTATCCAAAGAGGACTATGAAGGCAGCAGCCCTTCTTCATTTAAGCTATTTGGCAGCGTAAAGATATGTAATGCTATCTACCTTGTGTCCACATTGGGTGACAACTGTCATTATATCCAAAGAGGACTATGAAGGCAGCCCTTCTTCATTTGAGCTATTTGACAGCGTAAAGATATGTAATGCTATCAACCTTGTGTCCACATTGGGTGACAACTGTCATTATATCCAAAGAGGACTATGAAGGCAGCCCTTCTTCATTTGAGCTATTTGACAGCGTAAAGATATGTAATGCTATCTACCTTGTGTCCACACTGGATGACAACTGACCCTTTATCCAAAGAGGACTATGGAGGCAGCCCTTCTTCATTTAAGCTATTTGACAGCGTAAAGATATGTAATGCTATCTACCTTGTGTCCACACTGGGTGACAACTGACCTTTTATCCAAAGAGGACTATGAAGACAGCCCTTCTTCATTTGAGCTATTTGACAACGTAAAGATATGGAATGTTATCAACCTTGTGTCCACATTGGGTGACATCTGTTAACTTATCCAATGAGGCCGTATGAAGGCAGTGCTTCATTTGAGCTACTTGACAGCGTAAAGATGTATAATGACAGCTGCCTTGTGTCTTTTTTGGGTGTGAGTTCTTGCTAGATCCAAACGTGTCATGTGACAGTGGCCCTCCTTCATTTAAACTTCTTGAAAGTCTAAAAGATAGGGAATATTACTTACCTTGCGGTTGTTCGGGTGTCGCCTATCACTTTATCCTAGCAGGCCGTTTATCATTTGACTAGCATATTGATTAAAAGCTACTTTGATTTGCGTGTGTCCCTTTATCTACGCCGGCGAGGTAACATTAGTCGTGGAGTTGCACCACGTGAACTGGAAGTGTACCAAGTAAACCGAATCTTACTTCCTTATTGCCAGTGTTTGCTGTCTCTCCTGGGTGTTTATGTCTTATTTGTGTTGACTGGTGTTCTACAGGGACGAAATTGCTGTATTTACGGTTTAGAGATCCTGGTTGATCCTGCATGAAAACGAGCCATGATTCTCAAAGTTATCTATGATAATACATATACTCTGTCATTCAGACCCTGAAACAAATATATCCAAGAAAGACCATGCAAGTCTAGAATATTTGGCAAGTGTCTGTGGGCTCTTTTTCATTATATTTTATGATTTATTGTTTATTTACAGATTTTCTTCTGTAAAATGTGTTCATTTCAGAGACTACAGATGTTAGTCTATAATAAATATCAACCACACAGTAAACATTAAGGATCTAAAACCAACGAGTTGCCATAATGGTAAGGTTTTAATTTGTTATTATAGAATCTTAAGTAATTAGAGTAATTTAATATCTAAATATAGTATATTAATATTTAATGTGTAGAAAAACCAGAATTGATGTAGGGAATCCCGAAGTGATGTAGGGAAGCTCAAAGAAATGTAGGGAAACCCAAAGTGATGTAGGAAACTCCAAGTGATGTAGTGAAGCTCGAGGTTATGTGTTAACTTCAGCACATATTGACACAATACATGTCACTTATATTTCCTCAATAAAATGTCGGTTTATGTAAAGTGCAGAGAGGGTTTCAATAAGATCCAGACCTCTAAATAACATATGGGTCACATGGGTATACAACTAAGTTCCCGGGCCTCCAGATCAAGCTATCTCTATTATATATTCAAAATATGTTTGCAAGTAAACTGACGATACGACTATGCATTGTGAAGCAACAATGAAAGCTTTGCTACAGTAAGCAGGTCGAGTTTGTAGGGTGTTACCCGTAGAGCAAGATATGCAGGATATACGATTTTATCGAACATTGGTGACAACATTGTTTTTCAGTGATCAGTTCACCTAATTTCCGTCACTAAAATTCCCCTTACACCAAAATGGAATCATTTTAGTCAAAAAATCGAGACGCTGCCTGTCGTATCAAAGGGACTTGGCGTGCCGCAGACAATCTCAGCGCAACGACGTTCATAACCCTACTATAAAGTAAGAGATTTATTGAATTTCACATCGCAGATAGCTTTGTGCATGGGCCATTAAGCTGTAAGTAGAAGTATTTAAATAACTTCTTTTTAACATCAAAGAAAACCACGTTGCCTCGTGGCGTGTGTTCCGGTTACACGTTAAGAGCTCCACAGTATAAACTTGTATCATATGAGCTGAGAGGTGTTCAGCTATGAATGGAATGTACGGGTATCTACTCACATAGAAATTACACTTATTAGTGAAAATCAACGTTGGCATTCGTACCAAATCGTGAAAAAAGGTACAGTACAATTTACTAAAACAGATTTTCACTCACCTGACGTGGACATTAACAGCGGCCCACATATCCGACTGCACCGACATCCGGAACTAAGACTGCAATCTATCCACCTTGCTAGTAACGGTTGGGTGGACATGAGCTCACATTACAAGGATATTTCGGAAGGGAAATACCAGGCTGAAAAATCTTCTTTTTTAAAACAACAACAGAGAAAACAAACAGGTAAAATTGTATAAGGAGAAACAGATTACAGTCTTCTGTGTCGTGAATCGGGTATGTCTGGTCTGGGTTGGCTAAATGGATAAAGCGTTGAATGGTCCCACCGTAGTACTCGGTTCTATAAATGGGTGCGATGCGTGAAGTGGATGGAGGGGAGGTGTCGTAGTCTAGAGGTTAAATCACCACCACCACTACTACTACTACTACTACTACTACTACTACTACTACTACTACTACTACTACTACTAGTGGTTAAAGCGTCCGTTCGTCAAGCCGAAGACCCGGGTTCGATTCCCCACATGGGTACAATGTGTGAAGCCCATTTCTGGTTTCCCCCGCCTTGATATTGCTGGAATATTGCTAAAAGAGGCGTAAAACTAAACTCACTCACTCCCTTCTGGCTGGATTATTGCTCAAATGTAACAGGAAAGCATATCAGCCACTCTTTATATTCCACCTTGATTTAGTGGTAGAATCTAGGGTTACCGCTGGTGATATTCCGGATTTATAGACCTGGCTGTGGATTCCGTTAATACTTAGATAAACCATCTACACATACCTTGCATTCATCTCCATGTTGTAAACTGGCTAGGCGGATATCTGAGATTTCACGTATGAAAGATGTCTACACGTTCAAGGGGCGGTGGGGTAGCCTAGTGGTTAATGTGTTCGGCCGTCACGCCCAAGACCCGGGTTCGATTCCCCACATGGGTACAGTGTGTGAAACCCATTTCTGGTGTCCCCGACGTTATATTGCTGGAATATTGCTAAAAGAGGCGTAAAACTATACTCACTCACTTCACTTCATTTCCTTTTCTCTCGACAATGCGGAATGCGGAATATTATTGTTAATATTCCACTAAATTATATACAGTGAGTTATCATTAGTGAAATTCCCATAGACTTGCATGTTAGCTAACTCTTGCAAGAATAATTTTCATACATTTAGTTTCGGTCGAATTGCTTTAAATACTTATCTACCAGCTGGGAAATCATCTCAGCTACAAACACATAATTTCCATTCAATTTTCCGATGGTTATAAAGAAAACTGCAACTATTTAAACAACATAAACTGACGTACAAAAGAAAGTACACCCCTGGTGTTTTGGGGATTATTTGAAAAGTGTTGTGGTTTTGACTGGCAACTTCGCATATCTGTGGTGTTTTGGCAACATATTAGGAATGTCTGTGACATATATATCACTATAAAAACTCTTTTCAAAACATTTACGTCGCTTTTTGGAAAGTAATCCAAAGGCACCAGGTGTGTACTTTTTTGTACGTGAGTTTATGTTATTCTATTCTGCTAAGACAGAGTTCAAAATAAATGCAGCCTGAAGTATGCAATTTTAAGTGTCATCGTAACTGAGTACGTCTGATTTAAACCTGAGGTAATCCAGCGTGAGGCAACTGGGATCTCGAGCCCTTCTTTCATCCTATGTTCATACTAGTGGTGGTCCGATTAATTGAAATAATCGAAGATTGGTCGTAGTGACTAAACGACCAAGCAATCGATCATAATTTCTCATAATCGAACACAACCAATTTTGGAACACTTGTTTTCATTAACAATATTTTTCACATGGTTGGTTTTGTCTGTTACATTTTGTAAGCACTACAAGCTCGTTTCAAGTCATGATTGAATTTATCTTAAAGGCTCCAAGAAATTTATGTTCCTAACATACTAGTCATCCTTTAAAGGTGTTAAATTTTGCCAAAAAGCCCCAAAAGAACTACATGTGCATTAACAAATTTCATAAATGACGCTAACCAATTTTCGATGATTGATCGGTTGTAATGAACCAATCATCAATTATGAGATTTTAACCAATTCCCAACACTAGTTCATACTGTATCTTGATGTAATCATCGGAGGGTTCTTAAAGTTGGAAAACTTCTACACAGCCTAACTCTCCATTTTGAAGAAAACCAAACTAACCTATTTGTGTCAAACTATTGAAAATATAAAACGAATGTCATATGAGTCAAAGTTTATTTCGTCAATATTTAATGTTAGTTCAACGATGTAGGAATGTCCAAGGGAGCTCAGGTCGTACATGTTAACCACGTTGATGATCTCTCGCCATGTTGACAGACCAAGGGTCATGGTAACAGCGTATTGGGGATTCGAACCGACAACTGGAGAGTATTGTCATGACTTAGGCACGCAGCAGGAATTGTTCTGTCATCGACACATACTGTATACAACATCAGCACCAGCATCTGCATTAGCAGTTGTAGTTACAGTAGCAGTGGCAGCAAGTGGTGGTAGTGGCAGCAGTAGTAGTAGTTGTAGTGGTAGTAATAGATGTGTGGTATTGGTAGTGCTAGTAGCAGTAGGTCGTAGTTGCTGTATGAGTGGAAATGGTAGTAGTAGGAGGAGGAGGAGGAGTGGCAGTGGTAGTAATAATAGATAGCAGTTGTCGTCGTCGTCGTCGTCGTTGTCGTAGTAGTAGTAGTAGTAGTAACGTTAGTGGTAGCAGGTAGTAGTCTTAGTACGCAGTGGTCGTACTTGTGGTTGTAGTGTTGTGGGAGTGGTAGTAGTCTTACTAGCAGTAGCATCTGCAGCAGCAGTTGTAGTAATACCACTTACATCGTTTACTTGTACAAAGTTGCCTCCCTTTATCTTGCCAGGAATCTATGATGGTGACATCGAATCATTGACCCTGTGGAAGTTTCCAGGATTGTCAGGTGATCGTGTGTTAGCAGTGTGGAAAGCGTCAAATTCTGCATAAGCTTAGTCTCTCCTTCAAACAAGGTTGACATTCTGTGATAGAACAATATATTTTACTTTACAGGCCGAGATATTCAAAAGGCCTAGGCATATTTATAGCAATGTTATGTACACCCATGATCGTGTTAATACAATCTGTAATCAAGCATTGCACAAGTTTGAAGGACAATTATCAACCACCCCAGTCAGGCAAAATGCTCTCCACAACAGTGACACTCAAGGGTAATCTTCGGCATGTAGTATATATTTGTTATACTCACAAATAATATATATCAATCTGTCGGTGTCCTGGATATACCGCCTTCCATAGGCGTTAAACTTGTATGATATGTCCCCCGCTTGTACCTAGGTCCCCTGTTCGATCATGCGTTACGCTATTCGTCTACAAAGCAGCAGTGAGTATTTGTTTCTTGGGGTATCTATTAAAGGGGCCCACAATCTTTCTTTTGTACGCATTCTTTGTTCCAAATACGCTGTACTGCATGGTTGGTTGGTCGTTTGGCTGGTTGGTTGGTTGGCTGCTTGCTTGCTTGGTGTTTGTTTTGGCTTTGGTTCAGGTTTAGGTTCATATTTAGGTTCATGTTAAGTTTAGTTGGTTGTATGTCGGATGGTTGGTTCGTTGATCGGTTGGTAAAATCGTGGGAAGCAACTATGATATTCAACATAGCGGGTCGACGACTTATCTGTTACATACACTACTTTATAAAACATGGGTAATATGAGAAAAATTAAGGCAGTACTGCATCAAACATATGAGTAATATTCTTGTGTGCATAAGGAACATACCAGAAAAAATAAAATATGTTTGTTCCTTTATTGGTGTAAAGAAATAAATCAACAACATATTGTTTAGTGCGGCATAAAACAATAACAATAACTAGTTATTCAAATGTTCTGTCATGGGGGTGCTCACTAAAGCGCAAACACCAGGTATGAATTAGGCTCTACGTCTTATTCAATGACATGTTCATGTGTTTACTTTTTTACAGGAATCTTTCATCTTGGCATAGCTAGTGGGTTTGCCGTTTTACGCTGCACCCAGCAATATTCCAGCTATATGGCGGCGGTCTGTACATAATCGAGTCTGGACCAGACAATCCAGTGATTAACATATCATGAGCATCGATCTGCGCAATTGGGATACGATGACATGTGTCAACCAAGTTAGTGAGCATGATCACTCGATCCCGTTAATTGCCTCTTACGACAAGCATGGGTTACTGAAGATCAATTCTAACCCGGATCTTCAGTTGATTGTACAATAGTGACTACGAGTATATATTTGTTTCAGAAGTATTACAGCCGTACGAAGTTGTTTGTAACGTTTGCTGAAATCAAGAAGACACCTAATATACAATAGAAGTGCGTTAGACCTCTAGCACATACGTGACCTTGCAAGATACGTGAGAGATAGAGTTTAGTTTTACCCCGCTTGTAGCAATGTTCCAGCAATATCACAGCGGGGACACCAGAAATGGGCTTCACATATTGTACCCATGTGGGGAATCGAACCCGGGCCTTGGGCGTGACAAGCGAACGCTTTAACGACTAGACTACCCCACCGCCCTCCTTGCTACAGTACTAACATGAGAACAAGGCTGCACTGACAAGCCAAATATACCTCTCACTATCATTACGCTATGGTGCTGGATCATGCTCCGCTGGTAGGTGTCAATATATTTGCAGGTCCACAAGCTGACTCATTCTGATTATTACACACTGTCCTTCCACATGCCGCGTCAACGGGTCTAGTTCCTTCAAAGAAATGTCACCAATATGACATGTCATTGTCCAAGGTGGACACCTTATCAATGGAAGTTGGCACTGCGTGTCCACACACTCCCATCTGGCCATCTTCAACTGAAAACTGTTCACGCGTAGTGAGTGACTGTTGTTTTTCGCCGCTTTTAGATATATTCTAGCAATATCATGGCGGGGGACACCAGAAATGAGCTTCACACATGGTACCCATGTGGAGAATCGAACACGGATCTTCGGCGTGACGATCGAACAATTTAACCACTGGGCTACCCTACCGCCCCTGCTCAAGTGTAAATCGGCTAGCTCTCTGTGATACTGGGAGGGACTCTCTCCTCACTGAAACTCGTGTTATCTGAAGCAGATGTCGGGGATCTCGGAGCTGAATGCTTGAAATACTGTCGTAATGCGGTCCACCTACGGGGTGTAGGTAGACATCTGTGTAAGTACCTGGAGAGGAATATATTGAAAAGATGAACACTATAATTATTACGTACCCGTACAAAATGTATCCATGGTACCTATATATCGAAATTACTCTACTTCCCACTGCCTAGGCATATTAAAATACTTTATACTTTTCAAGTCAATATTTACAATGTAAAGTATAGTTTGGGATGAAATGCATGTGGACCCGGTTTTTGTAAATATCTCTTCATCCAAAGACCCAATCGATCTCAAACTGTGCAAGTGGATGTTTTGTCAGACAACCTAATCACATTGTAAATCACCGATTTTATGCATTTGTATTAAAGAATCTGTCTATGTAACTGTCAATAAAATAAACAGCAGACCGCAGACTGCTTGCAGAGGGAGGGAGCCAATGACCTGTAACAGCGGCAGTGTTGGGTCATAAAGGTAAATGCACGTGCAGTTCATGATAGTTACCTGTGCACTGCACAGTGATAGACCGTTTGGATCATTCACATTGACTACTTCTAGCTGTCATCATGAAAGCTTATTCAGATGATGCTAAACGTTTAATTAGAAATGTGTTGAATTGTTTTTAAAAAGAGAGCAAACGTAGCAAACCGATTTATAAGGTGTCGGATTACATGAAACGTACAACTTTTGCTCTTGGCATGAAAAAGAACATCGTGCTAAAACTTGTGAAAAATAAACCAACAGCCAATCAATAAAACCTTGTACAAAAGGTAGGCATCCAAAGTTAGATTCTTTTGACATCAGGGTCATCAGAGATGTCTTTCGCCGGCTATTTGCTAGAAATGAACACCTCTTCATACCTGTCACGTGCATAGCTGACCTACATTGACGAACGTTGACCTTTATGACCCAACACTGCCGCTGTTACAGGTCATTGGCTCCCTCCCCTGCAAGCAGTCTGCGGTCTGCTGTTTATTTTGTTGACAGTTACATAGACAGATTCTTTAATACAAATGCATAAAATCGGTGATTTACAATGTGATTAGGTTGTCTGACAAAACATCCACTTGCACAGTTTGAGATCGATTGGGTCATTGGATGAAGAGATATTTACAAAAAACCGGGTCCACATGCATTTCATGCCAAACTATAATTTGGAATGATAATTGCATTCATTTGCGAAATAATAGATTGTGAAAATCGTTCTCTGTTAAAGAAGCTGTTTTAGAAAGCAATTATATTCACCAAATGAGTGAGTGAGTATATAACAAAATCTCGATCAGACAATCAAATGCTTGTTAATATGAGCATGAACATGAGGCTACACAGAGCGGTTCTATCTTGGAATCACTATGGATACATGTGAGAGAACAGGCGGTTTCGAAAGAAAAACAAAGAAAAACTAAATACCAACCTTCCTTAACGTCAGGTTTTCTTTTCTTCCTCCAGCAAATTACCCCTACCACAAGCAGACCGATGATGACGACCAGTAACAGTGCCACGAACACACCGAGACCAATCACAGCAGACCGGTCACCACTTTCACTACTGCAAAAACAAGGGTACTTGTCAACCAGCAACAGATCAACTTCAAGTGGACCTATCAATTTAATACTATAGGATTCCAGGCTTGGAAACATTTCACGGAATGACTACGAAATATAAATACTTTTTGGGGTCATTATTTCTATTTTATTGGTGTTTATGTGTTTCTGTAACCATACCTTATATTCGTTGTGTCCGAGAACTGTGCGTTGCACCTTCCACATTCAACATCATTCTGACAGTTGGAGGCAAAATTAGCATCAGAACTGAGGCGTGTCTTGAAGAACTGAATCCCATCTTCTGATGTTAAGCCGACCTAAGAGGTAAATGGTTACACGTTCAGTCAAGAGTCCAATCATTGTACAAACGTCACAAAAAATTGTGACACAACTGTTCCACTCATCTTTGCTAATAGTGAGTGAGTTCTGATTGACGCCGCACTCAGCAATAGCCCAGCTATATGGCGGCGGTCTGTAAATAATCGAATCTGGACCAGTTAATCCAGCGATCAACAGCATGAGCATCGATCTACGCAATTGGGAACCGATGACATGTGTCAACCAAGTCAGTGAGCCTGACCACCCGATCCCGTTAGTCGCCTCTTACGACAAGCATGGGTTACTGAAGGATCAATTCTACCCCGGATCTTCACGGTTTCTTTGCTAATAAGATCTATATAATGAATACAGACCATTTAAGATGGGTCCATCTTGAAGACTCATATTCATTTTACAAATAACACTGTAAAATATAACGGTGAATGTTTTGCGTCGAACACTCTCTATGACTGGATGTCAAGCAGTTTCACAGTTTGGTCAGTTTGTCGCATAATATGGACGGTTTGTAACAGAATATGGTGTAATTATTCAGCCTTCCATTCTGAACAAAAATGCCCATGATGTTGATCACTGGTTTGTCTGGTCCAGACTCGATTATTTACAGACCGCTGCCATATAGCTGGAATACTGCTAAGTTCGGTGTTAAACAACAACAAACAAATATCTGAAGAAAAGATGATTTTTTGGGGGGGACTAATAGATGTCACCGGTAAGTTCACTCTTCCCTTGAGTATCTCCCCGAATAAATCACAGAGTAGACTGAATTTGAAAAAACAAATCCTAAACATGACTACTATTTGCAAGTGACTTCTAAACGATTTCACAAACCCACCTCCTTATACACCAGTTCAGCGTCCCGCACAATCTGTGAGATTTTGTAACCAACGCTCCCTTCGCCATTGTCATCGAAGACTCGAATATTCCCGCCATCGTTATAGATGTCGAGGCGAACGTTTTTGACGTTGGCGATCAACTCTGCTGTAGAATACTCGGGACACATGGTGTAAGTACGGTAGCACTTTTCTTCTAAAGCTGTACTGAATCCAAGAATCAGGGAATACACACCATTGATAGCAAAAGGTACCCAAGTGTCGGTCTTGCGGTTTTGGGCCAACAATTCAGAGGTACATGGTCTTCTATACAATTTGTTGTAGCTCATTGGAAAATAACAGTTTGAGGTTAATTCTAAATATGACTCAAGCCATGGGTTCTTTGAAGTCGACACGTTAACACCACTGAAGTATTCTTCAAATGCTTGGTTCTTGGGCAGCTCCTGAGCAAGAGACAAACTTCCAAGCAACTTATTGTTACCTTCTATCACTTTTCCTCTTTTGCCCCAACTCTCACCTCCAATGAACACAAACTCACCAGTGTTCATCTCCTCGCTCAGAGCCGTCATCAGCTGTGGTGCTATGTTGGAGCTGACAAATATCACAACAAGCTTTGCATGCGGGAACCTTCTTAACTCGGACACATAACCGCGGAAGAAAGCTTGACTTGTTCCTTGCTTGACAGCAATCGTGTTAGCAACGCAGATTTTGTATTTTTTCCCAGAAGCCATTAACGATGCCAGTCCTGCTGTACCATATTCCCCATCCGTATGTATAATTTGCACATAGGTAGATCCAATCTCCTTGGCCAGGTACATTATTACATCAGCCTGTTCATGGTCAGGAGAACACGTTCTCATAAAATTAGGATGCAAACTTCTTGAGCTCAGAGTTGAACTTGTGGAAGCATACGAAATGAACAGTTTGTTTAATTCAGTCATTAAGATGGACATAGTAACACTTACGGAACTTCCATGTGGGCCAATGTATCCGATGATTTTATCAACAATACTTGAACTGTTTAAGCTGTCAGTGAGTCTTAATACACCTCTATGAAGACGTGTCACTCTTTCCCTTGCAATCGTGGGAGTGTTACAGGTATCCAGCAATAACAATCCAATAGTTTTGCTCCCAAGAAGTGAAGTAAACCTATCTCGTTTTGCATTGGCACGATTGACAGCAAAGACAATACCTTCAGCCAAGTCCACACTGACTGCTGTTCTAAGTTCACCACAATGCAATGGGTCTGCTCCCTGATCATGTATTGGTACAAGACCCACGACGTAAAAGTCTCCTGGTAAGAATATCACTTCTCCATAACTGCCTGGATTTTGACATTTTGAACAGTGGCGGGTTTCTTGACACTGGGCCTGAACCGGGTTCGAGCTTTCTTCTCCTTTGTCGTTGTAGGACTTGATGACACCTGGCAACAAGGTCAGGTCTTGTGCCACGTAATCACCCACCTGGTGAAGAAAGAAAGAAAAAGTGATCACATACTATGCCCTATTATCATAGGAACATACAGTAAACTAACGAACACCTTTATGACGAACTGGCGAATATAAAGAACTGTTTTTCGCGACCACTTACTAACTGTGTATTTTAGTCGAAATGAATATATTGAACTAAAATTGATGGTTCCTTTGGCTTTGTAGTAGGCACGGCTTACTGTATATATAAATACATTTTTATTTGTATACCCTACAATCATAGGAACACTCTTTTTATAACGAAGTGTATACATGTATGACACCGGATTCGTTTATGAATTAAAAGATGTTCGTTGTAAAATGTGTTGCGGTAGCTTGGTGGTTAAAGCGTTCGCTTGTCACGCCGAAGACCCCGGTTCGATTCCACACGAGGGTACAATTTGTGAAGCCCATTTCTCGTGTCCCCCGCCGTGATATTGCTAGAATAATGCATAAAGTGGCGTAAAACTAAACTCACTTACACACTTGTTGTAAAATGCGACCTGGTTGATTCAGGTCATCCTATCCTAATTTTTTTCGTGGTTCGATACTCATTTTTCATTCACTGGATTATCTAGTCCAGACTCGATTATTTAGTCTGCCTCTATATAGCTGGAATACTGTTAAGCGTGGGGTTAATAACAAATACACATGCACGATTTTCTGATTTGTCGCTAATTTTTCTCACCTTCACATTGCAAAATCCAGTGCTGCATTTTTGGTAGTTGTACACGATATAGGTCAAGTGGTCTCCGCTTTCCGTGTACGTAAGCTCTCCATTCCTGAATCGAAACTTCAACTGAAAGGGTGACAGCTCCCAAAATTCAACTGCAGGGTTGACTTCTACTGCAGCCATTTCCTCAATAAACTTGGCCTTGTTGGAGATATAATCGTCCAGCTCCTTACATACACCTGTTTGTCGAGGGCATTTCTTCTCATATAATGTCTTGTATGTCTTTGCAAAGGCGGCTGCGGCCATCAGTGCGTAGTTGGTGTATATGGAGAGTTTGGCATTTTGTACTGAATCTGTGGACCGTTGAATACAGGATTGTGGAATATTTGTTTCATTTGCCAGGGAACACTTGGTTACTTGTTCCATGTATTTTAACAGCCAATCATCATCTTGTATGTATTCTCGCATAACATTACCTTGGGTATGAAGCGACTGCCAGTGTAATTTGAACAGCTCGACATCATAGTATGGAGGACTTGGGGTGAGAAGTCCCTTGGCTAATGGATACACGCTTCCGTCGGACTTCATCAAATATGACTCACTTTCACGAATGGACTCGGAAACTATCATCTGGAAGTTGCTGAGTTTGATGTTGAGAAACTCAAACATAATTTTAGCAGTCTCAGCTTGACCAAAAGACCAGACCGAGAACTGGTGATTCGGACTCTACTTCCAGTTTTCGTTTAATTGACTCAAATATTATCCTGTATTCGTCACTGCTGGCGTCTGTTGCAATAGAAACGTATTGCGGTACACATATGCCATTTTCTTCTGCCTTGGCTTTGAGTGCATTGGCCCCTTCTTCGCCGTAAGTGTCAGCTTCATACACGATTGCTATATAGTTCCACTTCAGTTGTTGCAAGAGTTTTAACATAACCTGGAATACAAAAAAATCATTATAATTGCATCAATATTACGAACGTTTAGTCGTTTTATCTTCAAGTGTTACCATCTTCGACACAAACATCGCAGTATACGTCATTTGACAGATCAATATAATAACTGTCATGTACGCAATGAAATCAAATCTCAATCGATTTGGATAATATTTTTTCCAACGTATCTGATGTAAATGGCAACTAAATGGGTTGGGTGGACAGGCCAAACGATGGGTTGAATGATGGGTCTCCGCGTCTGGTCACACTATCGATCACAGGATTGCCTGGTCTAGATTCGATTATTTACAAGCTCGCCATCATATAAGTGGAATACTACGGTAACACGCACGCACGCACGCCCCCCACACACTGTAAACCCTTTCAAAAATGAACTGTTTATATTACATTAACTTGTACGTCGTCCGTTTCTATGACCCGGTACAGGTTTTTGTAGATACTCTTGTCAGCGAGGATGGCTGCGGTGGCGGAGAAGCTGATCTGCAGCAGACGATCACGCTCTGGGAGCGAACTCAGCAGACGAGACACTTCTTGGGTTTCTGAACTAAATTCAGGCCCAATTACGCCTAATAAAAACAAGTTCACAGTTACAATGTATTTCAGACATCTTAGCTTTTATCAATTATCAGGTATAAGTGCCTTGGTTTGATAATTAATCGTGGTGTCACGCTCGTAACTACACATAAAGTAGCTTGTCTCACAGTCCCTGAACCACATTTTAGTCCCTTCTACATTAAGTGGGTAATGTCGATATACCTTTGAAGCCCGGACACGTCTGTATCGCTGGGTATAGGATCTAATACACGCTTGAACACATTTCGATAACCCTTCTGTCACGCAAGCCATTGCATAAGCTTTACAATGTACTTCAAATGTAATATGTATAAATGTGTTAAGCATATTTGATATTCCTTTGAAGCCTGTGATATTCCCCCTTTTACAGGTGTCAAATCGCATCTTCAAGTTCGACAATGCCATTGGAGATATGTTTATGAATCAAATTCTTAATGATCAGTGTATTTAAGTCTAATGTAGTCCTCTTTGAAGACTGCATAATTCGTTTGAGCTATATACATGTTTGATGAAATATAAAAAAACGTGACAAAATATGTTTTCACGGTGTTTTTAGCCAATATATTCCAAAACAAATATTCTTCCTTCCAGTTTGTCCAAACTGTTTCATGATATGTGCACAGTGGTCTACATGTATATTGACAAGACTGTTATTCTCTGCAGTGTAAACAGATAATATCACACACAGATGATTGGGTAAAGGTACATACCATATATCTGTTTCTGTTTGTAAGTCTGCAGAATATCTAGAGTAGTTGCAACAGCCATAGATGGAATTCCGCATGTCTTGAAAGCGTGGAGACCTTTAGATAGTAAGAACATTCATATAAATGACGGATGTAATGATTCTTTCAGAACGCATTTAATATTCGAAATCAAATGGATTTACAAACGAATGGTCTTCCGTAAATTGACAAAGGTAATCTACGTGTTTAAGTTACACACTAACTGTAGGTGATAGGTACCTAAGAAATGCAACTGTAACAGTTAAAACATCAAAAAAGGGCATCAGCGATTATCTCCAGTGGCGATTAGCTCCAGAATTAAATTTCTTTGGGGCGTAAAAGGCAAACAAGTAATGGAAACTAAATGATATGAATGAATGGCGGGAAATCACTAATAAATCTGCATAGAAAATAATATGAAATACTTAAACAATATTACAATATAGAAAAATATATTCAAAAATATTAAACAATATCGATAGCACACCCTGGAACAACCCATTGCATGAAACAATTATGTAGACTATTTATCATTAATTTTATTTGTTTTACATATGAGAAATGTCATTCCTGGCACATATCGTCCTTCCCTAAGAAAGATTTTTGGTCAGCTGAAAAATGGAATATCACATGGCTCATGTGGCTCTCACAGACAAAGCACTCACATAAAAGGATTAAGGGTACATTACCAAATTTGACACCGTTGGTATAATTTCTGTCGTTCAATTGTCCGATGAACCATCGGACCGCTTCATATGCCTGTATAGACTCTGGAACCACGGCACCACACGTTTCATCAGTATGGGATTGTATAGAAAATAGCCCCGCTAGTATCACATCCCCCGGAAGGTACTCGTTGGTTGAGAAAGAGGCAACAGATCCTGTAGTCCAGATACAGAGCAGGGCCCCGAGGGCGTTCATTGTCACACTGGATTCACTGGAAAACTGGAAACATTCAGGAATGCATATTTTCAAGAAATCTTGCAACTTGGCATTGTATGTAAATACTTTTGGAGCTGATCAGTATGCGGATCCTGTTGGTGATATGCTATTGTTCGTTGTTTGTATATGATAGCATCTGTTTGTGTTGTAGATGACATGTTCCAGATGTTTTAACCCAACGAGACCCGTGAAGGTCAGGGTTAGAATTGATCTTCAGTAACCCATGCTTGTCGTAAGAGGCGACTAACGGGATCGTGTGGTCAGGCTCGCTGACTTGGTTGACATATGTCATCGGTACCCAATTGCACAGATCGATGCTCATGCTGTTGATCACCGGATTGTCTGGTCCAGACTTGATTATTTACAGACCGCCGCCATATAGCTGAAATATTGCTGAGTGCGGCGTCAAACTAAACTCACTCACTTACTCCAACCTCACGAGAGACATAAAGGCTTGACATGCCGGGCCCAGGGTGGAACCTACTGGGTGGTTTCAGGCCATAAGTCCCTTCTCAGCAAAGTCACTGAAAACGATGTATTCAGGCCTATTGGAGTTTAAGTGTTCAAAATGTGCATGCTAAAGTTTGGCGTGCGATTTATCAGTTTTGTTGTGGGAGCGTGACATGAATCATAAAAGCATACATCTCAAGCCAAAGGCGTAAGAGTTGGCAGATTGCCTGTTCTGCGATTTCACAATCTCATATTTTTATGTCATACGAACGCGCAGCCACAACAGAACTGCATGTGAGCACAAAGACATCTGATGGATGTAACATGGATATTTAGATACGTCAATTACTGTAAAAGGGGGCTAAATGCCAGTATGGCGTTATGGCTTGTTTACTTTAGCAGCATTCAATATGATGTGTATTTGTACTGTCGCCTGAACACCTGAACTGCCGTCGGCTGATCACTGTGGGAGTATCAGGTTATAATACTCGGACAAAACCCAACGTTTGTGTTCTTATCTGCTCACCACGAGAGACGCGGAAACAACTGACCTTCTGTCCGGGTCACTGAATATGGGGAATGCCATATATACATCGGCCACAGTTACCCGTGGGTATCAAAAGGTCACCAGCAAGCTTCACGTGTCGCAAGAGACCGAATTGCTCGGGTGAAGGAGTCGACTCAAAGTAACGCAATGGTGTGGATGATTAGAAAGTGTAGTCCATACTTGAATACTTAACAAACAAACAAACAAATGCATCGTACATATTCACTGCTACACATTTAAACATGTCACTTAATACATTGTACCTATGATTAAGATAGGCGAACCTGTTTTAAGCTGGGAAAAAAGTTGAAGTATGCTTTCCCGGTAGAATGTCTAGGCAAATAGTGGATCAAATTAGAACCCATCGGCTCCAGATGAGTTGCTGATTGTCAACATTAAGGAAGTATTTACAACGTAATAGGTGACTAGTATAAGTAATTACAGTTTCAAATGAAATTTCGTCTCACCTGTCAGCTTCGACTTGACTGTCCTTGTCAGTCCCAAGTGCGTTGTTCGAGCCATATGTGTTGTGAAATACACAGTCAGCCATGCGTGGAAACAGGGCCGCTGTGTACCGTCCCCCGAAGACTAACTGTCTATATCTACTGTATGCTTGTTATCGAATTACACCGCAGTGGTTTGGTAATAGTGACGCGACCCAGAATAATTCATAGCATTCGATAATTGCCTTTCAGGGTTGAAGGACTGCTTTCAATAACAAGAGGTTTGTGATTAAGAAGTGTAAATATTTCATGTGGTATTGATCATATTGTTGACATCTAGTCCACTTGTACACATGGTTTATATTGAAACCATTATTAAAACAACAATACAACAAAATATTAGAGTTTAAATTATACATATACTGGACACAAAAGTGGCTGCTCATGAAATAATTGTGCTCACTCTTTACTACAGACAATATATCACCAAGAACATTCATGATCTTGTACCTTGTTGATAAAAGTGTGTTGCCATAGAGGTAAAGGGGGGATAACTCTGAAGTCTTATCGAAGGTGCATACCTGAATGTACTGGATACACAAGACTGGTGGGTTTTACATGTGGTACGTATACAAGTCCGAATGGAATATATTGCTCTCCAAAGCCAATATAAGTTGTGTAATCAGTATTTTCATTGAACCTGGAGTTTCGAGGTTGGAATCATAAAGATATATGACAACGGTATGTTGATAATGGAATCACACATATAGTGATGCCAGGAGAACAAAGCATCCTCAACCCCTTTCTGATATGTTACAAATTGCGCGCGTCTGTGTGAGTGCGAGTGCGCGTTTGCATGTGTGTACTAATGTGAGGGCCTTTTCAGAATCACAACCCACGTCAATTTGTTCCTTTTATTTTATACATGTTTTTTTTTGTGCCGCGATGTAAAAATAGTAAGCATTGTTTTCAAGATACAAATTAGACCGCCTCCGTGGTGTAGTGGTTAGAGCGTCCGCCCGGAGAGCGGAAGGTCGCGGGTTCGATCCCCGACCGCGTCATACCAAAATACGTTAAAATATGGTACTTGTTGGTCCCTGTCTGGCGCTCGGCATTAATGGGTACAACAAGGACTGGTCGGCTTGGAGTCAGTATAACGTGTCTGAGTGGGGTATTCGTGCTTCACTGCGGCATGGTATCTCAGTGGGCTAGCACTATAAAACCAGCTTCAGTCTGGGCTAGTACAAGCAGCCGCACATACACATACGCATGCACGTCGTCAAATGAGCGAAATATTCTCAAGCACGACGTTAAACCCAATTCCACCACCACCACATCAAGAGACAAATTCATATGGTAGCAAGTCTAATGTCTTAGTGTCTGAATAAACAGTATTTTTAAAACAAATTAAACCCTTCTTAAAGAGATTTTTTTATGTTTTGTTCATTTGTCTATTCAATTTACAGAGTATCCAGCAATAATCTAGCTAAATGACAACCGCGTATAAATGTTCTATCCTGGGTAGGACAAACAAGAGACAACATCCCATGATCTCAGGGTACTAGAACTAAACTAATTCACCCAGGCTCACCACCACATCCATTTGATCGTTTCTTATGACTGGTATAATTTGACGGAAACTGATCCATGAAGATCCGGGTTAGAATTGGTATTCAGTAACCCATGCTTGTTGTAAGAGGCGACTAACGTGAAAGGGTGGTCAGGCTCGCTGAATTGGTTGACACGTGTCATCGTATCCCATTTGCGTGGATCGATGCTCATGCTGTCGATCACTGGATTGTTTTGTCCAGACTCGATTATTTACAGACCGCCGCCATATAGCTGGAATATGGCTGAATGCAGCGTTAAACAACAAACAAACTAAATGCTAAAAACGTTTTCCCAATAAAGATTCCCTAAACGGTACATTATGTGCATATAAACAATACAATTTGTTGCTGAAGATGCACCTATTGTAATCGTTGTCTTTCATTGTTCAATGCACCTTTCATGCACAAATTGACTGAGGTGGAGTGTAAAATCAACTACTTGAGAACGTGTACCTTATATTTGCTTCAACCAGTTTTCATGCCACGAAAAAACAACTTAGCTTAGAGGAGACAGTCAGATGCCCATTTGGTGTCGACATTGTTATTAGCGAGATGCCCATTTATGAAACTATTGACGACTGAGATGCTAATGCACCGTTAGATTGGCACATCCTATGTTGGACAGACAGACAGACATATTTATTCAGTAATGTGGGCCTAACGGCCTATAATACAATTTAAAGATACAATATTTTACAATGCCACGTGATATTTTCATGTATAATGTTTAAACAGATGTTTCAACAACAGAGCAACTGATTTAACAATATTAGAATCTTTAGAGTGTAATACATTTATCATGCTCTGTTCACATTGAGGCATGGCATTCAGCTGTGGCAAGTACTTTTGCCGAATTTCATTGTTGGAGTTTGCATATAACCGTTGTGGCGTTTGCGTAGCTTTAAACTTAGCAGCTGGGCCCCTTTTCACAAAGCTCTCGTAGCGCTACGACTATCGTAAGTCAAAGCTACAATATAGGAAGTAGGAACGCTACGAGGAAGGTTACGAGATCTTAGGCTTACGGGAGCTTTGTGAAACGGAGCCGAGGACTGATAGTTTGCTTTGAGTCCCTTTAAAATGTACACCACATTATGTTGTTGAGCAATTTTCAATAACTGCATCCTTTTTAACGGCTTTGACTTTTGTGTACCGTATACACAAGTAATAGAGCGCGTTCGCATTGACAACTTTGATCTATCCGTCATGGTACATCCAGTCAGTCTTCTTTCCCACGAGGAGAGGCTCGTCACATTTCACCGCAACTTCTTGTTTTTCATTAATATATCTAACGACCAGCCAACCATGTGTGACAAAATGTTATCTTCTCACTTATACAAATCTTAAATGTGTCCTTGATGTTGTCCGAGAGCATAATTGATCTTGTTTGAGTTTTTTCGGACAGTGGAAGGCAAAACTTTACGGTGAATGGTAAGTCGAAAGCAGGTTCATGGTAGAGTTTCATGATAACCTTGCAGAGTCCACGAGACAGTTGGTCGAGTTACTCGTTTGTGACACGATGGGCGTTGCCAACGTCCTCGGCGAGCCGTGCAGTGTGTTCACATTAAAGGTCATGATGAAAAAATAAGATGTTATGGATTAATGAAATTTAAATGAAAGCTATGTATAGAGTAAACTATGTATGTATGTATGTATGCATGTATGTGTGTATGTATGTATGTATGTATGTATGTATGTATGTATGTATGTATGTATGTATGTATGTATGTATGTATGTATGTATGTATGTATGTATGTATGTATGTATGTATGCATGCATGCATGTATGTAGCGCAGACATTCACAATCATGAATCAGAAATATTTTTTTCATATCCCCCAGTCCGTTATGTACGTACTTACTGTAGTTTCAAATTGTAAAGGTTTTAAAGCAGGCCTGTATTAACACAGGGGTCGCTGAATGCGTTTTTCATCAAGTTGTTTTCGAACAACAAATTTTAACATAAAGAAATTTGATGCGACACCAAAGTTAGAATCGATTTACAGTGGAAGCCCTCCAATCCGGCATGCTCTCAATATCGGCACTAGAATTTGGTCCCGGCAGAAGCTAGTTAATTTATGATCATTTACACGCCCTCTAAACCGGCGTCAGTCTATTCCGTATTTCGGCACAATGAAGACCGTCCAATTGACTGTTTGTACGGTAATTAACGCTCACAAAACCGGCATCCGCTATCTAAATAAAACAATGGTGAAATCTTTACTGACAAACACATTTTGCCTCGAGATATGTGCCGGTTAAAGCCTTCATGATATAACTCTGTACATTTTGGTACAAGTCAAATGCCACCCCAAGCAAAGAAACAAAACTACAAGTGTATATGTATTTATCAAATCAAATCAAATCAAATCAAATTAGACATTTGTATAGCGCTACATATCCAGAGTCCTGCTCATGTGCGCTTAGTCGAATGCTCGTTTGAAGAGGATGGTTTTGAGACAAGATCGGAAACTGTTGATATTTTCCGATTTTCTGACATTTTCAGGTAATCCATTCCAGAGTACAGCACCCGCTCTGCTAAATGATCTGTCTCCGTATGTTGTGGTTCGGACAGATGTACTTACCCCTTGAGGAAATATTTTAGGGGACCGGGTGCGATTTGTGCCCTGCGTATCTCTTATTACGTAATTATTCGCGGTTGTGTCGAACTCGGATAACTCATGTTTACGTTTGATAGTGTCAAAAGTTTGCTTGATGTTTAATGAATACTAGATTCCTTTCATTTATTGTTATTGACTACATAAAAAGCATCGCGATACATCCGTACATCAACACATGATTCAAATGTTATTCGGGATAAAAGAATCACTACTACGAAAGTACCATATGAAACATGCATTCCAGCGGTTACATAAAAAATGTTACTACGCTTGAAGCATATGAGTTCGGCATTATCGCGGGGTACATTGAAAAAAATGATAGAAGAGCGCTCAGCCAATCCGAAAACGACATTTATGTGTGAGGCAGGATAAATATGCAAATCCATATTTGAACTAATCATTATACATCTGGGTACCGTTTCACAAAATATTCTTATGTTTCATAGTATAGACGTCGCAAAGATCGCTAAAATCTTGTCTGTTCTTGTTTGTGACAACTACTCATTCTTGAGATACTCACATAACACTAAAGGTCAAATGCACACGACACAGACTTAATGTTTCCCTCGAAAGCTAGAAGATCTGCCTTATGTTCATAAACCAAGTGTACGATCTATTTTGTAGACTAAAGAAGTAGTCTCTTTCAGTGGGATTGTCATTGACACATTTTCCTGGAACTCGCAGAAAAAGTCAGGCGTTCAGTCGATCAGATTGCACAAGCACACAAAAAACTAAATTATGATAAAAGTACATGTTTATACAATTATAGGCAGACTTATATTGACATTACAAGTGATGAAAAAAGTACAGAATATAAGGTTATCGAAGAAAAATTAACCCAGTTACAGTTGAGTCTAGAGCATCAATAACAAACAAACAAGAGAGGCTTTGGGGTTTTCTATAATAATGTTTCAGTTTTACAAACAAGCATATTGATTGTTGTTATAAAGTTTCCCCCTATAAATTTAGAATTCTCCATCTTAGGAAAAACTAATTTTGCAACCGAAAATGTTTTACAAATCGATCTTTAATTCATGAGGTACATTTTACTTTAAATTACTCTTTCGCATACATTTTCATTATGTTCCTGTATCTGTAAAGTATCTGTTTTATCCTTTTGTCAACAGGAAAGCATAATTCGCACAGGCATTATCTAGCTTATCTAGGTTCAATTTCACTTAGCCTGTGTGTTAGTTTATGACGTACGTGTTAAGAAGGACATCATTGCATATTTACCGAATCGTACACAATAGAATCGAATAAACAAACATCACTGAAGATGTACGTAAACATAACTATACGAAGTACACCAACTTCGTACGATAACATTATTTAATTGTTTGTCTGTTGAACGAAATCCTGTTGTTGATTATATATCTTCAGTTGACACAAGATTTGATCATGGTGATATCAGATAGCTACTAATGTGATTAGTTATACAGTTCTACAAAGGTGCAGGGGGCGGTCGGGTAGCTTAGTGGTTAAAGCGTTGGCTCGTCACGCCGAAGACCCGGGTTCGAATCCCCACATGGGTACAATGTGTGAAGCCCATTTCTGGTGTCCCCGCCGTAATGTTGCTGGAATATTGCTAAAAGCGGCGTAAAACCAAACTCAGTCAGTCAGTCAGTCAGTACAAAGGTGCACTTGGGCATGTTGATTTGTTTCACTGAATGAAACTATCCCTCGGACATATGGTCGAATAGGGATCTGAAATAGATGTGAGAAATATGAAAACACAAAGCTATATATATTCTAAGATTATTCATGAATATTGATCGAGCATTAACAGACCGCCGCCATATAGCTGGAATATTGCTGAGTGCGGCGTAAAACTAAACTCACTCGCTCACTATCGAGCATTACCGACGCTATTTGCTGTGAATATTAGTCAGCGGTATCGTGACAATGGTTAGTGTAAAGGATTTTTTTTCATTTCATGTAAAATTAGGATGAGGGGACGGAAACGAAAAAAGACAAGGCTTCAAACATGCATTTGCAAAGAAGGGCTCTTGAAAATAGGGCCAGATTATAGACTGACTGACTGACTGACTGAGTTTGCAATATTCCAGCAATATCACGGCGGGGGACACCAGAAATGGGCTTCACTCATTGTACCCATGTGGGGATTCGAACCCGGGTCTTCGGCGTGCCGAGCCAACGCTTTAACCACTAGACTACCCCACCGCCCCGCCAGATTATAGAGGCCCATGCTCCAAGTTGTAAAGCGAGAGTGGGGTTGGCAAGTTTTCTCTTTCTTTCTGTTCTCCACACAAGTACACAGGTTAATAATGTAAAATGAATTCCATATTTGTTTTGAATTGCAGTCAAAGTGAAATGACATCATCGTCTCCACAACAAATTAAGACATCAACCAATGATGGGAGCAATTAATACCTAAAAAAAGATTAAAGCATGTCACTTTCAATAGTACAGAGTCTGGTTTACTGCCTTTATCCACCACATTCGTCTGCCTATATGTTGATGGATATATCAATGATGTTTCTGTTTTCACTAAATGATCTTGCAAAACCTGTACATTATAAACTCTGTGTGTGTGTGTGTGCGTGTGTGCGTGCGTGCGTGCGTGTGTGTGTGTGTTTAAACATGTTCCTATCCCCTAACCTTCGTGGGGAGGTGGGGTACATAGCCAAGTGGTTAAAGCGTTCGCTCGTCACGCCAAAGATCCAAGTTCGAAACCCTACATGGATACAATGTGTGAAGCACATTTCAGGTGTCCACCGCCATGATATTGCTGGAATATTTGCAAACGTGGGGTAAAACTTATGTAACTCACTCACTCATTACTTACCTTCTTTCTTCTGGGTCTTCCTCCTCCGCACTTGGCGGCAGAGATAACCTGACATCACCAAGACAACCAACCCGAGCACACTTGCACCAGAAACAAGCGAATAGAAAATGGTTGTTCTGTCGGAATTCGGTTGAGCACTGCAACATCGATATAACACAGTTTGCCGCATATATGTGATGTGTGTTGGGGTCTTACCACTGTAGTCAGTTGCCACGTATGTGAGTGAATACAGTTTTACAACGCACTCAGCACTATTCAATCTATGCAGTTGGGATACGATGACATGTGGCAACCAAGTCAGCGAGTCTGACCACCCGATCTCGTTAGTCGCCTCTTACAAGCATGAGTTACTGAAGATCAATTCTATCCCGGATCTTCACGGGTAGTGGCCACGTAAGCCGATAACTTACTAATTCATATTCAGTGTCATATAAAGAATTTTCCCATTGAACAATTTGTCAGTTGTATATGCATCGTATCTGTAGATCAATGTAGAAGATCGGTTAGCCTCACAAAAACCTTCTTGAAAAGGTGAAATTGGTGACTGGAAAACTGTTTCAATGAAGAAAAGGATACCAAGATTCATGGTGTTGGAATCTTGTTACGTATTTTTTCTTTATTCATCTAAACATGGAGATATAATTTTCCTGATCACATATAATTCCCCGAATGTCAACTGCACAAACACAGCAGTTTTTTTTTTATAATTTAATAAGGGTCAATATTATAACTATTCTAAGCCCATGAAGATGCGAGCTAGAATTGGTCTTCCTTAACCCATGCTTGACGTAATTGGCGGTTCACGGGATCGTGTGGTCATGCTCGCTGACTGTTGGCACATGTCATCGTGTCCCAATTGCGTCGATCAATGCTCATGCTGTTGATCACGGGATTGTCTGGTCAAGACTCGATTATTTACAGACCGCCGTCATGTAGATGGAATATTGCTATGTATATTTGTGCACGCCTTACATAGAATATTCATTATTTTAATTTATGGCTGAATTCGTCAATTCGTAACGGAGTGGATGATGCAAAAGCAACTAGCGTCCAAACATGTTGTACAATAAGACCTCATTGACTCTAGTATGGTGATTTACTTTCAGTTGCTGGCGATATGTAGCTCGTATTTCTATTGTATTTGTATGCATAGTAATATCTTCTCCAGATGCACACTAGTTCGAAGAGTAAATCTGTTATAGTCTACTGATTCATATATTGACCTTTGTTGTTATTTATTTATTGCATTTATATCCATCTAAGATGGCTTCTATTACCATATAGCTTCATAGTCATGATATGGCTGAAATACTACCGATGTGACGTGAATTATAACTCACTCACTCACTCAATTATCTTCTTCGAAAAAAGAATACTCACATTTTTTTGCTTTCAAACTGCTTCCTGCACTGTGCACATTCATATTCGTTTGGACAAGCCGAAGTAAAGTTTAAATATGTCATCAGTTGCTGTACAGGTCTTGACAAAATGATACCCTTATCTGATGAATGGCCAACCTTGAAAAAACAAATATTATTGTAAACTCAGTCACTGTAGCAAGGTCAGACAAGAATGATACATTAATCTGCCTGGTGTTGCACACCTCAGCATTCCAACAAAATGAAACCAAAGCACAATAATTTCATAAGGAATGTAAGCATGTCCACTCAGTTTGCAAAACATCAACAATGTCATCTGCAGAAATATTACATACATACAACTGCAGTAGTTTTATCCTCGGGACCAGGATAACTTACTATTACTACGCTAAGACGTAACTAAATACTAATTTAGCACAAAGTGATACCCGTGAAGGTAAAGGTTCGAATTGGTCTTCAGCAACCCATGCTTGTCGTAAGAGGCGATTTACGGAATAGGGTGGTCCTGCTAGCTGACTTGAGTACAGCGTTAGAACAACAAACAAACCAACCAAATCACTAAGTGATCGAGAAGGCAGAATTTGTAGGAATGACGATGCTTTGACAGTTTCTCGGTTAAATCATGGCAGGCAAACTTGGTGGCGCTAAGGAAGTGAGCAAAATCAAAGCAGGAAGTAAAACCGGTAGTAGACTTACATCTTTACTTAGAAAAATTATACAAGTTGTATTTGAAAATCTTCGGTGGCAAAGTGAACTGGAGAAACCCCGCAGGTGTAAAAGGGACCGAATTCTAACCAGCAAATTTTGGCTGCTAAGTCTCTTGCTCTGAGGACTGACTGACTGAGTTTGGTTTTACGCCGCTTTTAGCAATATTCCAGCAACATCACGGCGGGGGACACCAGAAATGGGCTTTACACATTGTACCCATATGGGGATTCGAACCCGGGTCTTCGGCGTGACGAGCCAACGCTTTAACCATTAGGCTACCCCACCGCCCCTTGCTCTGAGGAGACCACGGGATAAGAAGACGATTGTCTGAATAGCTTTGGATACAAACCGATTTTTAAAACAACGTTCACATGACATACCTACCTCTTTATACAAAAGACTTTTGTTCCGGACAATCTGGGAAATAGTGTACCCCACGTTTCCGTCACCATTGCTGTCAAAGACGTTGATGCTGTTACCATCCTGGTAAATATCCAGTTTTACTTCTTTCAGTTTAGCGATCATGGCTGGAGTGGAAATGTCTGTGCAGATTACAAGATCTTTACAGATTGATGTCACAGCATCGTGGAACCCATGGACAAGACTGTACACTGTGTAGATTGCAAATGTTACCCACAAATCAGGCTTGATACTGTCACCAAGCCTTGATGAGGGACATTTTTGTCCATTCTTCTTTTGAAAACTTTATTTCTGGTGTCCCCCGCCGTGATATTGCTGGAATATTGCTAAAAGCGGCGTAAAACTAAACTCAGTCAGTCAGTCAGTTTGAAAACTTTTAGGTACATAGCACTGTTTAATTTCTTCAAAGTACTCTTGCAGCCATGGGTTTTCGTAAGTTTGAATGTCTATATTTTTAAAGTATTCAGCAAAAGCGGTAATTTCAGGAAGCTTCTGAGCTATTGTTATAGAACCACGTAAGTTTGTTGTTAAAAGGTCTTCCATTTGAGCCCAGCTTTCTCCACCAATAAAGGAAAATTCTCTACTTTCCATATCTTTATCAAGGTTCTGCATGATCAAACGTGTAAGAAACGGCAATGCAAACACGACGACAACTTTGGCATATCTGTATTGTCTTAGCTTAGACATGTAGCCTGTATGTTTACTTGGATCATCAGTGTTCTCAGCTTCAACGGTCTGTGCCACGCATATCTCCTCTTTCTGTGCAGCATCCAGAAGAGCTTCTTTTCCAGCTATCCCATATTCCTCCTTCGAGAAGATAATCTGTATGTATTTCGAGGAAGTCCTTTTAGCTAACTGCATGATAACTTTAGCTTGCTTGGGGTCAGGTGAACTCGCTCTCATAAAATATGGATGATATCCTCTGTTGCTCAAGGTGGAAGCTGTGGCTGAGTAGGAGATCTGCAACGTCTTGGTTTGTGTCAATAATGTTGAAACAGGTACAGTTACGAAGCTGAAAGCAGGGCCAATATAACCAATTATCTTGCCCAAAATCTTTGAACTGTTAGAACTATGGTCAAGACGTAGGCTTCCATCATTCAAACTAATGATCTGCTCTTGTATCTGATATGGATTGGAACATGTATCCAGTACAACCAAGCCAATTGTCTTGTTGCCAAGAGTCCCACCAAATATGCCAGACTTGTTGTTTAAGGTGGATACAGCGAACTGCAATGCTATTGTAAGGTCAACACTTAGAGATATGGCTCGCACGCTTCCACACTTCAGAAAGGTACCACCCTTGTTGTGTATGGGTGCCATACCAATGATATAGAAATCACCTGGTATGTATAAGACCTTTGCATCTTCGTTTGACTTCAAGCACTTTATACAGTCATACGATTTCTGACATTGTGCATGAACGGCGTCTGTTTCTTCTTCGTCCTTATTAAATGCCACGATTGTGTCTGTTATATTTAACCGGTCATCTCTAAACTCCCCCACCTGCAAGGATAAGAACAAACATAGCATTGGTAATCGTTGTGGTGATGTCTATTCTTGTGCATAGAGCTCAAGTTACTATTCAGTTGAAGTTGAGCAACGATGAGCGGGGAAGACCACTGGATGGGTGAGCGTCTTATGCAGCCACTGGATGGGTGAGCGTCTTATGCAGCTTGATTCCTCGGAGTGCCTAGGACTTCAGTCCTGGTAATACTGATAACGTTTTGAGCAAGATATTCATCCTGGAATGACGCTTTAAAAGTGGACTATTACTATCATTGTATTTTTCTCATTCTGTTAACAGTCGGTGGTTTGCTTGACCAATGTATAATCAGTATAATATTCCTGTCAATTATTTATGATATAATAGTTTCGTATAGAAGAACAAATGGAGATTTGTAAAAAGTGTATTTATTGAAATGTTTCCATGTTTGTAACTGCCCAGTTTGCAGTCTCAAAGTTGGCAGTCATATACTTTATGTGAATTGTGCATATATAGTTAGCTGCCTGTTAATAATAGCTTAAAGTAGTTTTTTTTATAAGAATTGATACTCAAATAGATAATGCTCAAAAGGACAACTCGTGTTTGTTTTCCTTGCATGATGCTTTCCAGACAACCTGCCACTGTGAGATCTATTTGAAACCTTCAGGTGGATAACTAATACATATCTTGTTCTTCTATTGATCGAAACAAGTAACGAAAAATAAACACATAAAGTATGGAAGTGATAGACATAGATGGTATACCTTGTAAAATCCAAATGAGCTGCCATTGGATTTGAAGTTGAAGACAGAATAATCAGGTTCTTCTTTCTTTGCATAGCGAATCTCTCCTTTTTCGAAGCTGAAGGTAATGTTTACGTTAGGAAACTCTTGCTTAAAATCCCCTCTCGTACTGACAACGATCTGTTCCATCTTTGATATTGCTTGACTCCTCATCCGAAAACAAACATCAGTATTTGAACCACATTCTGTATATAGTTGCTTAACTGTTTTCGCAAACGCTGCAGCACCACGAAGAGCATAATGGGTATACAAGTTCAGTTTCGTATGCCCACGAATATATTCGCTTGCCCTATTGAGACAGGCGGTAGCATTCACCATGCTGTCCTTAAACTGTAAGTCCATGCATCCAGTAATTTTCTGCAGGTAACCATGAAACCAATCATTATTCCTGATGTGTTTCTTTATCAGTGTCATATTCTTGTGTAGATCAGCCCAGAACTGACTGAACAATTCCACATCGTAATAATCTGGACTCTGAGTCAAGAGACCTTTAGTTCTGGGGATGATTTGCCCATCCTTTGCGTCTTGTACATACATTTTGTCAACGGCTAATGATTCTGAAACAATCATTTGAAAATTTGTGAGTTCCAAGAGTTTATCAAGGTACACAAACATGTCCTTTGCTGTTTCAGCTCGACCAAAGAAGACCAGTCCTAACACAGGACTTTCTTCGTCTTTCCGAAGACGTTGGGTTAGGTTACTGAATATCAACATAAATCAACTACAGACACGAATGTTAAGTCTCTCCTATCATTGTTCGAGGTATATGCATGTATGGTAATGTAGAGTGACAGGAATTAAGATAATCATAATGGGAGATCTAGAGAATCGTTAGCCTAACTGTATACAGCAGATTAACATTCGATCTGCGTTTATTCGGTGGTCAAAGACCATCTGCAAAATAGTGAGTACGTTTAGTTTTACGCCGCACTCAGCAGTATTTAAGCTATATGGCGGCGGTCTGTACATAATCATGTCTTGACCAGACAATCCAGTGATCAACAGCATGAGCACCGATCTACGCAATTGTAATACAATGACATGTGTCAACCAAGTCAGCGAGCCTGACCACCCGATCCCCTTAGTCGTCTCTTACGACAAGCATGGGTTGCTGAAGATCAAATCTAATCCGGATCTTCACGGGTCTCCATCGGTAAAATATGAGTTATTGTTCCAGGTAAACGAGGTCTTCATATCATTATCGCCGATGTTATGAGACTTGCACCAAGATATCAGGATGAATCCCAGTAGTGTCGTGTAACCACCAGTTGTACATCATTACCGGTGTACCATCAGTCCCAAGACACTGATCACGTTCGTATCAAATATGTTTGCTTGCTTTTTCTTTCTTCCAACACATGAAACCTGAGGTACTTTAACTGATATGAACGAAAAACACAGACTAACTACAGTGGGGAAAGATTGTACATATCTCTCAATGTGTCTGTTAACTTAACAGTAAGGTCTTAGAGTAAATAAGATGACTTCACAGGTCCAGACACTTATCTTTTATATGTTCTGAGATGCTGCTGAAGATCATTAATTTGGCATCAGACCGTGGAATATATCGCCTCGTTGAACATAGGTTGAAAGGGCATCGTCAATGAGCCAAGGTAAGTCGTGAATCTGTACTTACTGCTTCGTCAGGCGCCCTTCTGATAGCATTGGTGAAAAGCACGTTACACATATAAACCCCAATTGAAATCCTTTGTTTTCCGCCCAATACCCATGTCTGTGTGATTCTGCTAAGTGGAGAAAGTTTACAACCTCCAAGGTGCCTGTACTACCTGTCAGTTGTCGACGCTAAACCCAACTCACTCGTCAGTATTCTTTCCTAAGGAGCACCTAATATCATTGACAAACGGAAGGGAATGTTTGTGTCACTTTTTTCATTCCAGGTGTGAATCAAAGAGTGTTTTGTCTCTTTTTTAACTCCTCGCCGGATATTTCCAATGAGTTCTTCCTCAGACATCTTATGATGAAGCCATGCCACCTACACGGAACACATGCCAACGTTTGATGCCTCTATGTTTCTAAACATAGGATCATTAACGGTACTCACTTCGTACATAGACACTGGACATGTGGGAACCTTTAACGAGAGATTGGTATCCTGCTGTGTGTTTACGATTAGGCATCCAAATCTATCTCCTAAAACGACCCCTTGTGAAAGATGTAAACCTGACACCTCACTATATTCCTTGATTGGATTCTCTATCAACGCCTCAATCAATTATTTTATAACTCTGGGACCAATGGAACCGTCGTCCTGCTTCAAGACAGTAAACATAAAACATAACTTCATATCAGGAATTACCTTACATTCCCTGGTCCGTCTCAAATAGTATTCAATGCAGTTTTCAAGATAGGTTTCTCATTCAGATAACGTCCATGGCAGCTCTAACAGGAATATTTAGGATCCCTTAATACCATGTATGGTAAATATATTTAGAAACATACTGTGATGAGCTGTGGGATAACAGATCCGCGTTTGATAGTGCAATACTAAATACAACTTATTTTCCGGAACGTCCAGTTCGGTTCCTTTAGCACACACAGGGAAACACGGCAGGCTGGATGAACGTACAATTCACGTAACTTCAGAGTGGCGTCAACACACTCTTTCCCACTCAAGTATAGAACATTCAATACTCCGTGCTTTTCGTGTATGGAGTGGTTAATGCATGTGTGGGTCAATTACCTCATCAAAAATGATCATGTCTGTGTAATATTATCACGGAGTTGTTCCTGGCCATAGACTCAATCTGAAACCCACCTCCTAGGTGTTATATTTCATTAACCTCACTAGTGTTTCGAGAGTCTTACAAATCCATGACCACAGACAACGAAAACACAACAACTCACAATGAACACCAATAGTATTACCCATACTTCAGTGTTAAACATTGTATTACAGTACTGAGTAAAGTACTGGTCTGAACTATATAAAAAAGTAGTTCTGTGGTGCACATTTGCTGAACAGGTAAAAGAAACTGACACTTTGATTACCAAGGTGACTGCAAAGTGTCCAGTCCTACCGACATTGCGCTCACTCACGTCGTGGGGGTACCGATGGGTACCTGGAGTGTGTCGGGGTTTAAGCATCTTGAAATACATATATGATTTTTCTGGCTTGACGTCTTCATGTGGGGTGTAGACAATGTACTGACATGCATATCACAACTAGGCACATTATTGGATTCTAAATCACATTAATGGATCTTGATGCGTACAAGGTAGCAAATCTGACGGCGAATAAAATTGTCCACCCAGGTGTAGTTTCTTGATGATGCATCTGTGACATACTCTCCTGAAGAACACCTACTACCACGCGTATTCTAGATTATACTAGTCAGGACAGAATATGCTCACATCGAGATCACCTGGCATCACCAGTATACTAGACGACACGGGTGGGGCAGAGCATGCTTACACCCAGATCACCTGGTATCACCAGTATTCTAGACGATACGGGTTAGAGAGAACATGCTCATATCTAGATCACCTGGTATCACCAGTATTCTAGACGACACGGGTTGGAGAGAACATGCTCATATCTAGATCACCTGGTATCACCAGTATTCTAGACGATACGGGTTGGAGAGAACATGCTCATATCTAGATCACCTGGTATCACCAGTATGTTAGACGACACGGGTGGGACAGTGCATTCTCACATCTAGATCACCTGGTATCACCAGTATTTTAGACGACACGGATGGGACAGAACATGCTCACATCTAGATCACCTGGTATCACCAGTATTCTAGACGACAAGGGTGGGACAGTGCATTCTCACATCTAGATCACCTGGTATCACCAGTATGTTAGACGACACGGGTGGGACAGAACATGCTCACATCTAGATCACCTGCTATCACCAGTATTCTAGACGACACGGGTGGGACAGAACATGCTCACATCTAGATCACCTGCTATCACCAGTATTCTAGACGACACGGGTGGGACAGTGCATTCTCACATCTAGATCACCTGGTATCACCAGTATGTTAGACGACACGGGTGGGACAGAATATGCTCACATCTAGATCACCTGCTATCACCAGTATTCTAGACGACACGGGTGGGACAGTGCATTCTCACATCTAGATCACCTGCTATCACCAGTATGTTAGACGACACGTGTGGGACAGAACATGCTCACATCTAGTTCACCTGCTATCACCAGTATTCTAGACGACACGGGTGGGACAGAACATGCTCACATCTAGATCACCTGCTATCACCAGTATTCTAGACGATACGGGTGGGACAGTGCATTCTAACATCTAGATCACCTGGTATCACCAGTATGTTAGACGACACGGGTGGGACAGAACATGCTCTCATCTAGATCACCTGGTATCACCAGTATTCTAGACGATACGGGTTGGAGAGAACATGCTTATATCTAGATCACCTGGTATCACCAGTATTCTAGACGACACGGGTTGGAGAGAACATGCTCATATCTAGATCACCTGGTATCACCAGTATTCTAGACGACACGGGTTGGAGAGAACATGCTCATATCTAGATCACCTGGTATCACCAGTATGTTAGACGACACGGGTGGGACAGTGCATTCTAACATCCAGATCACCTGGTATCACCAGTATTTTAGACGACACGGATGGGACAGAACATGCTCACATCTAGATCACCTGCTATCACCAGTATTCTAGACGACACGGGTGGGACAGTGCATTCTCACATCTAGATCACCTGGTATCACCAGTATTCTAGACGACACGGGTGGGACAGTGCATTCTCACATCTAGATCACCTGCTATCACCAGTATTTTAGACCACACGGATGGGACAGAACATGCTCATATCTAGATCACCTGCTATCACCAGTATTCTAGACGACACGGGTGGGACAGTGCATTCTCACATCTAGATCACCTGGTATCACCAGTATGTTAGACGACACGGGTGGGACAGAATATGCTCACATCTAGATCACCTGCTATCACCAGTATTCTAGACGACACGGGTGGGACAGAACATGCTCACATCTAGATCACCTGCTATCACCAGTATTCTAGACGACACGGGTGGGACAGTGCATTCTCACATCTAGATCACCTGGTATCACCAGTATGTTAGACGACACGGGTGGGACAGAATATGCTCACATCTAGATCACCTGCTATCATCAGTATTCTAGACGACACGGGTGGGACAGAACATGCTCACATCTAGATCACCTGTTATCACCAGTATTCTAGACGACACGGGTGGGACAGTGCATTCTCACATCTAGATCACCTGCTATCACCAGTATGTTAGACGACACGTGTGGGACAGAACATGCTCACATCTAGATCACCTGCTATCACCAGTATTCTAGACGATACGGGTGGGACAGTGCATTTTAACATCTAGATCACCTGGTATCACCAGTATGTTAGACGACACGGGTGGGACAGAACATGCTCTCATCTAGATCACCTGCTATCACCAGTATTCTAGACGATACGGGTTGGAGAGAACATGCTCATATCTAGATCACCTGGTATCACCAGTATTCT